TAAGGATCGAAGCTTGGTACAATATTGTAAAGAAAGTTGCAAATGATGGAGGTGAAGAGGAGGTTTGTGGGACTCAGTATACAAACCCTGGAATGGAGAAGTGCGAAAAGCCCCGGTGCAGAGCCAAAGCCTCAGATGGTGAATGGGGTCCAGCATCTTCAAGGCCGAGGTCCTGGCAGAACCATAGACCCATAATCCAGTTTGGATCGAATCAGGACACGATAGATCCTGAGCATAGAACATCGATCCATTCCCTAAGAGCTGGAAGAGAGGACACGGAGGATGTTCAGAGCCTTTTCACACTTGACACGTAGCTGCTTGATGTGCGGAATGAAGCTAAGCTTACGGTCAAAGAACTTTGCCTCAGGGACCACACGAATAACTATATCGCTAAGACGGAGCTCGGGATTGGGGTGGAGACCCTGTTGGCGGAAAAAATGCATGCAAACAGTTTTGGAAAAAGAAAATTTAAAACCGTTTGCAGTGGTCCATGTCAACAACCAATTGAGGGCAGTCTGAAGCTGCTGCTCAATAAACCTCATGTGATGTGGAAGTCGTCGACATAGAGCCCATTTGCAACAGTCGGAGAAAGATTATTAGTGATGGCATTAATTTTAACACTAAAAAGTGTAACACTCAAGACACAGCCCTGAGGGACTCCAAGTTCCTGTGGAAAGAAACGGGAAAGAGTTGAACCCACACGAACTTGGAATTGCCTGTTCAGTAAAAAGTTTTCAATACACATGGGTAGATGGGCATGCAACGCATAGGAGTGGAGGTCCTGCAAAATTCCATACCGCCACGTGGTGTCATAAGCCTTCTCGAGATCGAAGAACACAGAAACAAGGTGTTCTCTCTTGAAAAAGGCTTCCCTGATCGACGTTTCAAGTCGAATCAGATGGTCCATGGTGGAGTGCTGTAGTGGTGAGAGGAGCATGTTCGATTCGAGGAACCAAACAAGACGAGCATTAACCATCCTCTCTAGGACCTTACAAAGACAACTAGTAAAAGCAATGGGTCGATAATTAGAAGGAATCTTGGGATCCTTCTCAGGTTTAGAGAAAGGTAGGACAATAGCTTGGTGCCAAGCATCAGGAAAAACATGCTCTTGCCAGATGTGGTTAAAAATAACCAGTAGAACAGCAAGAGGGACAGGAGAGAGATGGCGCAACATCTCATAATGAACATCATCTGGCCCAACCGATGTACTACCAGACCGATGAAGAGCAAATTTGAGTTCCACCAATGTAAAGGGGCGATTATAATCATAGAGACGATCAGCCTGAAAGGAAAGAAGCGATCGCTCTGTCCGAGTCTTGATGGCCAAGAAGGCAGGGGAAGAAACAGAAGTGGTAAAAGCTCGAGAAAAGCTGTGTCCGGGAGCATCAGCAACTTCCTGGCCATTGGAAAGCAAGATGGAAAGGGGATGGGAAGCATACCCCTCAGTGACTTTCTGAATCTTGTCCCATACAGTTTTGGAACTGGTGGTAGAAGAGATGCT